TTTTTTTTTAAGAATTATTAAACACTATTTATAAAGCTCAAATTAAACGAACAAAACGTCTTGTTTTATATTTATATTTCGGTCTCAAAATTAATCTATAGCCTATGTAACTACTTGAGGGGTGGGCTGAAGTTTGAAGCCTTACTCTTAAAGCAAGAAAATTAAACAAAAGCTACAGTATATGACTCAAAAAAAAAAAAAAAAAGGTTCCAAAAGTAAAACATAAAAACAAATTTTGACTCCAAACAAGAATTCAGTTTTGGTTCAAAAACAAGCCAATAAAACATGACTTGACTCCAAAAACAAGACCAAAAAAAAAAATTTCACTCCAAAAAAACAAGACATGACTACAAACACAAGACTTAAAACTTGACTTGACTTCAAGACAAAAGACATAAAAAAACCATTTTGACTTCAAAAGAAAGACTTCACTCTAAAAGCATGAGCTAAAATGCAGCTTGGCTTCAAAAACAAGCCTTTAAAACATGACTTGACTCTAAAAGCACTTCAAGGACATAAAAACATATTCTGACTAAAAAAAAACACAAAAAAAACAAGAATTGAATACAAAAGCAAAACTAAAACATGACCTGACTTCAAAAACAAGGCTTAAAACTCAACTCTGACTCCAAAAGCAAGACAAAAAAAACAACACATTTTTTACTCCCCTCCACCCAAAAAAGATGTAAAAACACAACTTGAGTCAAAAAAAACAAATTCTGACTCCAAAAACAAAACTTTAAAACATGGCTTGACTCTAAAAACATGACTTAAAAACAAATATTGACTCTAAAAGCAAGTCTGTCAGGGAAGTTGGTAAAGCATGACTGAGTCGATTTTATGTATAGCATGCTTGCATATCAGTCTGTCAGTGTACGTCTACGTGTGAGTTTCTGAGATAGGATCACTACAAAAAAATTTTTTATAATTATGATATATATTTATATATATATATATATAGAGAGAGAGAGAGAGCTGAGTAAACACAGCAACATAATCAAATTAACTCTCTCTCTCTCAAGCGGGCCAACAGTTGCTTGTGGCAAATTGACTGTAGGAGTCGGCTACCACATCTAATTCAGTTCTTCTGCTTTCTAAAGCAATAAACCCCCCAGACTGTGTTTTGAATGTCATATGGCAAGCCAAGCATGTTTCCTCTATAGTATAAGCACTAAAACGAGGTAACTGTACAGTATGTACACTTGGTTGAGCTGATAACATATGAGATCTGTACAAACTGATGAAAAAGGTACATGCTTCAGCAGAACAAAAGCTGGAACCAATGAATCTCTTGAATCGATTTAATCAATAAATTCCTTAATCCCGATTCAGCACACAGACACACTCGCACATCTTTTAACAGCTAGTCTAGACTGTGTCTACAACAAACACTGAATCACAATGCTGAATCACTGTCTGGTTATACCTTCTTTGGTGTCTGAGCCTCTGTGTGAATCCTGGCTAGGTGTCCATCAGCCTTATGATGTTACTAAGGAGGTGTGCAATATCTGAAGATCCGATAGCATTTCCATTCATCTCAATGGGCTTTAGTCAGAATACAAGACATCAATGGAGAAAGATGCTCTTTGCAGCCATAGTTACAGGATCTACCAGCAGGGGGACTCATGGTAACCAGCCAAACCTTGATCCCTTGAGGTCGACACACCAAACTGACAATGAAGAACTAGTGGTGACGAAAGCCGACTGTGTTGTCACCTCGCATGTGCCTGGGCTAAAAATTCACGCTTGAACACACTGCAAAGACTAGAGGCAAAACACGTTTTACACCTGCATGAGAGGAAATACCGGTCTATAGCAGCAGGTGGCAATAGTCTA